AGCGTGAGAGAACTCTGTCGGCAGTACTTCGAAACAGGGATGAGACAAAACGTCCCCACCGGTGGCAACTATTGTCTCGGGAGCGCGTCCGAGGCCTGCCGGTTGCCCGGTTTTCCCGGTTTTGGGCTGCCAGTTGAACCCCGTGTCACCGTACTTCCTGTCACGAGCACGCGAATTAAATCGCGAATTTCCATGAAATTATATCGACTGAAAAGTACTGTGCAGAGCGGCGTATTGTCCGACGGTGGCTGTCAGGTCCGTCCGAGAGATGCATCTAAGCAATATTTATGCCCGACCGTGCCTCGTTACGCCCCAATTCATCTGACCGTTTTATTGTCTACGAATTACTTCTATTCAGAGAGCTCGTGGTAGAGTACTCCCCGCGGATCCGCACGAAGATTTATTCGCAGAACTCTCTTAATGCAGTATATCACATGGCCATACAATTTTCCCTTCGGACACAAATTGCGTTGCGCCCAGCGACCGTTGACGTATTTTGATGAATTATTATCCGAGTACGTGACTAGTTTATGTATAATATACAGACTGAACCTATCAACCAACGTTCTGTATATTAAATTCCGTTAGCAACTTCGTACGTGCTTTGCTGTCCAGGCTTTGATCCAACAACGTCGCTTAAACACATTAAAGTGTGTTACAAATGGTGACAGAGATGAAACACCACATATATAGTTTCTATAATCCACATGAATATTTCAGAAACAATGATATAATACCAGCACAAATCGTTTTATAGATATTTCGATTTAACTTCATGGCACAAATAGAAGAAAGTCTTTAAGTACAAGCTTGCTAATAAGAATTTTGTGGAATACGAAAGAAAATATTAGTAATAGAATCAAAGTAGCGTATAGATTATAGACTTTTAACCAAATAGACTAGGGGATGATAAATATCCGTTCCCATGCAAAGATGTAATCTTAGATACGTTGCCAGGAGCAATGGTAAACCTTTCACATTTAGAGTTATTACAGGAATACTATTAGGTTGAACAATATCCGAAGTTTCGTCTGTGCTCAGCGTTTACTACAGATAATGAACAGTACTAACTAAAACGCTTGCGGAATTATGAATTAATTCAAATAAATTATCTAGACAAATGATATTGGCAAAGTAAGGTCTCTGAATCTATTAGTATTTTTAACACCAGGTCTGTGTATATGTTATGACATAACGAAATTTTGTATATTACTAACAAACCAAAATTGTAGATCTATATCAAGAATTTGAAAAATCTTATTATTTTAAGTAAAATAGAAGGTTATTCCAGGAAAAACTTAATTGTGCGAATCTGGACGTCACGTGTCCAAATTCTTATTAGAGACTGTAAGATGATAGAGCGAATCATAACGTCAATATTCTTTTCCCCACTGCGGGATTTCCAAGAAAAATTCGCTAATAATTTCACTATGATTTTAAGGAACACCTGGAGTAATGCTTCAAGTTAGATACTCTTATAGATAGCGAAGAATTCTGCATGTGAGGAGTTCTAATTATTATATATCTTAATCTTTAACTGAGTATTGTCTTAGTATAGGCAATCAAAGCTTTAATTTTACTTTGAAAAGCTTTTCGAAAACAGTAATATGAAAAACTGCAACGCATCAATAAGGTCCTCATATTTATAACTCATAAAGCCACATATTTTCTTTTTATAAATTTTTTAAAATTTTTTTATACTGTTCTTTAAACTACCTCAGAATGTTGCACATCGTAAACAGTAGACTATCTAGAAGAAGGAAGCTCAAATGGTTCTAGCTTTTAGCTAAAGTAGATGCGAGAAACTCAAAGCATCACTTATAACTACTAACTAACTAGAATTACATCTAAATATTTCGTTTGGATAAAAGATAAAAGCTAAAGAAAAATTACGGGACAAAACTTTACATTCAAATTACACACTTTATTTGTCCAATAGGAATTTAATTATTATATTATTAAATATCGGAATTTACTCTCTCCAAAGATTTATGTGGGAAGATGAAGTGTGTTTCTATAATAAAGTTACTGTGATAATCGCGCAATCTGGCGCTGATTTGAAAGCTTTTACGGCAGGATATGAAAAGTTAATAAAGGCAACATTAAGGCGAAATAAAACATCAACAACAACATTGGTACCTCGTTTGATATATTACCAGAATTGGGCTATGTAATTTAAGATTAATTAATTATGTCTTTAAAACTTTGTATTAATTACTAAATTATCCTCTCCTCGAAATTCTAGATTCCACTATGTAGTACTATATTTATAGTTACTTGTATTTCGTGGAAGGCACAATAAAGATACATATTATTATTATTATATTTGGTTTAAAGGTTGAGATTCACAAAAAAAGATGCGTAATAATTGTTAATGACGAATTGAAATTTAGAGTAAACTTGGATTTGTTATAGGATTCTGATTGGGTTTCAACAATAAATAACATTCGTGAAGAAGTGATTAATTCAATGAGTGTAGCGATGAAAATAATGAAGTTGGAGAGTATATTTATTGGTTCAGGTTCTATAAGTTCTTTAGATTTAAATTATTCAACTCCGCTTGGCTTAACCAAAACATTGTCTTTTCTGAAGACAAATTTAAAAGTATGTACAAGTACATCTAGCAATTAATAGAGTCGACCTATAAAACCATTTAGTTCAAGTGGCCCTAAAACCAAATTATTAAGAGCTCAACATCTTCTACAATCAATTAGTGAGAATGTGGAGATTAAATTCAGGAAGGACGGTAAAAGAGATTCGGTCGTGATTGTTTAAGAGCTATTATATAGCATATCCAAATAGGGGAAACTCAATTAGCAAAGCACGAATGTGAGTGCTCCAAAAGTCTGCAAACCTAACATCTGACAAGCAATTCCATTAATGTTGATAACAATTTATCCACTCCGCAGTAGCAAGAATACCATATAGTTAAGCAAGCTAAACAATTGTTATCGGAAATAGCTCTACAATCCATCATAGACCTATTTCTGGACTGTGTCAAACTAAGTAAATCAACCAGAACATGCGTTTAGCTCTAACGTCTATTTATAACGTCATCTTCACCTGGGGATGTAATGGATCGTTACAAGCAAAAGTTTTCCGAAGACCATTTCAGTGATGAAAGTCCACTCAGCCTTTCTACAGTCCTTTTATAAATTTGTTGCTCTGTAAACGATTTAAATATTGCCGTTTCTTCTTCCGTTAAATATAGCCGTCCAGTAAAACTTATTTTTGCTAAAGAATCATCTCTGTTAATAAACACTGAGGTTGTTAAAATAATTGATCAAATTAATTTTCGCCATCGTCCTATTTTTAGGACTATTTAGAAATTTCTGTAAATTCGAACTTAATATTTTGTATGATAGACGGAAAAGTTTGCAATGCTGCATCGTCTGGCTAGTGGGCCCAGATATAATATCTCATATTGTAAGAACAAATAAAACATGCATTCCTTTCTTTTGGAATATCACCTCTCCATACCTAGATCAGGATTTTGCAATGTATGCTACATATTAAATCATATCTATGTATTAATATGATACGATTACACATTACAACGTGCCAGGCAAAAGTGTCAGAAAAAAAACGAGGTTGCAAGAAGGAAAAAAGATATATAAGAACAAATTAAACGCGAATTTAGTTTATTAGTAGATATGCCGAAGCAATAAAGTGGCAACACGAACGCTGTATGCCATCGTTCGTGTTTTGCTCGGCATTTTTCAAAATTATTAATGAGTGTCGGTTTGGAAACCATATTTTTTAAACCTTCTTTGTTGAATATCTTAAACTTGTGTCCAATTTTAATACAACAATCCCCATAGATTTTCAATTTGATTCAAATTACGCACGATTCAGATTTTCAGCAGCACATAAAAGTAAATTTTGCTGTAAAATTTGAAGGTACATATTTCTATCCATAATTCCGTCGATAAACACTAAATTCCCGACCGCAGCGATAGACATGCAGGCCCAAAACCATTACGTTACCGCCACCATGCTTGACTGTCGCTGTAAATTCTCTTTTTCAGCTTGCTATTTGGTTGCGCCAGAGGCAAAAATTTCAAATTTTTGCTGATCCAAAAAAATTATCTCGTTCCAAAACTCTGAGCTTTTTGAAATATGCTTCATTATGACGTTAAGGCTACTTAACTGATTTTTTCTGTAAACAGAAATAATTCTAAAGGAACTGCTTCTTGCGCGTTACTCTACTGTGGAAATTATGGTGGTGAAGCATGCGACGAATAGTTTCAGGACTATAAGATTTCGGTAACCAGTTTTGGAAGAGATAACTCAGGATTTATTTTGATTTTCTCGTGCACAAACCAAAGTTTCTATGATGTGCCATTAAAACCATTTTTGAAATGATTTAACACGATCTGCATGGTGAAAAGGTAAACGCATGAAGACGGTATAAAATTGATATATTTTAAACTTTAATTTCAAGTACAATTTCCTAAAAATAAACATTCAATGATCTTTTTAAATTTTTATATTAAAACTAGATCAAATATTGAACAGAATATCTCTATACGGTATGCTAAAAAAAGGAAATGGTATTTGAAACGAAGATCGTACATTTTCCACTAAGCGTAAATCGACAGATGAAATTTCCTCGACAAGGTGGCGCAGCAAACAGTGGTAGAAGCATAGTGGAAATTTAAATTTCTCGCGATCAGAGGGTCGTGCTCGGTTTCCGGCGGCGAACTGAGAATGGGGATGATGAAAAAACGAAAAAGACGAGTCGAAATAAAGGAAGGCCGGAAGGAGGATGTGTCGCGAGGAACTTTTCGGGAAAATTCAATAAGCGGGCATCAGCGGAAGCGGGCTTTTCACCCGGCGCTAAGCGGCTTTAATAAAGAGAGGATATCGCGAGGCCTGGGCCACTTTGAACCTTCCCCAGGTTTTCGTAGTAATTTAATAAAAACGGTAAACGCAATAAGTGTACCGTTGGATTTGGGTTTTTGCCGTGGTAATATTAGGTAATTTTCATTGAAAATATGTTTTTGCACTAAAATTTTATTTTAAATTCCTTTAATATATACAATAAACGGTAAATTCACGTGCTAAAATCGCCTCTTAGCCATCGTTTGGCATCCCTTGTATCGTTTCCGTAAGTTTTTCCATATCTGAAAATTTGGCCTGGAATATGTCCGGCGTAATTTGGAAGTAGTCCAACGTGCTTGTGGTAAATTTCCGCTGGCGATAGTAAAAGAGGTGGATCCGGTTTATTTAGAGAGACCGGAGCCCATTCGGTACTTAATCTTTTCCGATAATTTGAAGTAAAGTCGCATAAAGAACTATTTGTCATCGCTTGACTCGTTTTTCCAAAGGATGCGTAACCAAAGGGTACATGTCCGGCAAATCCTTGTTTTAAGTACTTATTTTGATCGCTGTTATCCATAAAATATGGGCTTGCAGATTGATCCGGTGGCGTTAACGGTGGTTCTTCTACCGGCAAATTTCTTAAGATTTCCGCACATTCCGGTCTAACAGCCAACAAAGGCAGCTTAAATTCGCTTTTCACAATTTCTCGGTCTTCCAAATTTTTTGGATCCCATTTACCGTCCTGCAAGGCGCCTTGTCTAAGCAATTGATTTAAAGCCGCTTTATCCCGATCCTGCATTTGTTGAAATTCTGAAAGACCTTCAGTGGCCTGCACTGAATATCTTTGTCCAAACAATCCATTTAATCTTGGAACAAATCCTTCGTATCCGGGAATTGTAGGATGCTTATAACAAACGTCCCCTTGGCGAAATCTAGCGTTTACTATATCGATATCCCTTTGGGCAGGACGCTCAACTTGATAATCATCCAAAGTTCGATCTGATAAAACCAATTTTTCAGCATGACTCACCGTCGGATCTAACAATAATTTATGAGTTGTAGATCCATATGTGCTCCCAATCCGGAACTTATATTGCGGGCAAAAACCGGTGTACCCCGGTATTAAATGAGGATTTGGAGTCGAAATTAAATCGACCGACATTTTTCAGAAAGAAATTTTTTTACGACAAGCACGTGAATTAGACGTTTGATTAATTTGACGATTGATCTTTATTAATAACAAAACACAACGAACAAAAACACACTGGTTCGGTTGTTGCTTTCAATTTTTTCACTGAAAAAAGGTAAATCTGTGTAAATCTTTGTAAGTCTCATTGTCGTCGACACCACACCGCCGAGGGGAAGAGAAAAAGACATTAACAACGCGGTCGCGTCGGGACGAAAACACGTGATATTTTGCCAAGGAAGTTTCTCCAAGCCGCAGGAGACAGGTAACACAATCCCCATTCTTCGGGGCTGAGTACTTCTTGTAGCGTGAAATTAATTTGCACCCGACAAAGTGTTCCTCGTGTGCAAGCGAGTTAGTTTCTTTGCTCTGTGTGGCGAAACAGCATGGTAGAAGTGGTTTGCGAAGGAGCAGATAAAGACGACGTCCTATTTTACACAATTCAAGTGTACAAGAGGAATGTGAAAATTATTATATACCAGAAGTTTCTTCTCTGAAAATATTGTTTACATAAAACTAGGCTAATTGTAAGAGAAAGTCAAAGAAGAGAGAGACTGAAGTGAATCTTAGTTACGGGTAATTATTGGATTACAAAGAGGATTACATCTTAGCTTGGACATAGAATCTATCTCACGTAAATGTATAATTAATTAAATCCTTGAGAAAGGAAGCTATTTACTACGTTTTTTTTTCTAGTCAGGTAGCCTCGTCATCACTATGACGTTAATTAACAAGTTCGCTTGTTGTCCTTCTTTCTTAATTTAAGGTGCGCAGCTGCGGTTTCTGCATTCGCCGCAACTTCGTGCTCGGAATATCATTTTCGTTCGCCTATAGAACTCAACTTTACATCACGTTTCAAAATCGATATCCAGTTAATAAGTTAGATACCTTGTTTGAATGCCGTTTGCATTCTATATCGACCGTATCTGTCGATTCCATGAATTTGTAATCAACGATTTTGATTTGATCGATTTATAAACCGCGATTATTAAACGTTAATAGCATTGAAAAGATAAATTTTAGATTGGTAATCAGTATAATGGTTGTTATTCTCGGCGTCAAACTGTTGTTAATTAATCAAATTAGAGTAATAGATAGGCGCAATTGTATTCATATTAATGAGTTTCAAGATTAAATCGTGAAGCCTTGCCGGCGGCCGCTCGGATTTATATCCGTCGGGCTAGTTTAATTTGCCCGCGTAATTTGAAATCGTACATCACTGCTAAATATTCTATCCTATCGTATTTCCAGCAATAACAGTTGATTTTGTTAACGTTCGAGACTAGATTAATTATCTATTATAAATTACTACAATATTAAACTAATATAAATTTAAAAAAATAAATATTTGGTTTATTTGTCGAACAAAGATATAGTTTTTATACTAAATTAAAGTTTTAATTATGCAAATGATATAAGTTGATACTTAAATTGGCAGCCTGAGTCAAGCGATTTCTGACATCATCGTTGTGATGCTTGAAAGATGACTGTTTTTAATTTTGCAACACTAGGCTGAAAAGTGATTGACTTAACATATTTCAAGCAATCACTATTATTAACTTTTCACAAACTATTTCATAAGCCTAAGCTTAATATGGAGTGGATGCGGAATGATTTTTCTCGAACTTGTCAGTGTGTTGATGAACGATGTTAGCTTTCTGTCCAAACTAACTCAATAAAAAATTTATCATTTTTAAATCAATGCACTCTAACCACCGATGTTGAACAAACGAAATTTTAACTAGAATAAGCTTTATATTTTGAAGTAACCGAAGAAATTTTCTAAAAAGTTTTAAGGTCTTAAACATACGGTATAAAGGTTGTATACCTAGTCAAAATTTTATGTCAAACGCGTCAAGTTGGGGTCAAACCATGAATTTTTATTTCTTGTTCTATTACTAGGATTCGTTAAAAATAAAGAGATGAAATGAGAGATTTTGATAAAATGTATTCAGATGTTGATTTGACACTCTGACAGTAGATTATTATGTAACTTGGTCAAAAAAACACGTGACACAATTGATTTCCATAATGTCTGAATTAAAACCGTTATGTCCAAGCTACTCATACAAGAACTGCATACGGTAAAAACAAGAAAATGCATGGAACTTTGGCAATAACTACATTAGAACATCTAAACGATTCTTACTAAAAATCCTTGCCATAGAAAAAGCTGAATTATGCACATCGGATGAAGAGTCGATGCTCTTTTGTTTCTTTGAATTAAGAGTCGTAGATAAATTATATAAAGGACTTAGAGTTTCTAATAAATTAGGAATGAATCTATGGTCGAAATTTATCATGCCTAAGAACATATGTACTCTTTTTAATAAAACCGGTTTTAGAAAATAGAAAATAGCTTTAATTCACGCATTATAAGGAAGTCTAAGTCTTGCCAAAGGTAGTTAATTTCTCGAAAAATTTAGATAAATGTTGTAAATGCCCAACTTTATTTTTACTGGCGACAAGTATGTCATGTAAATATACAAATAAAAAATCGATACCTGTTATTACTTCGTTAGGCAGTGTGGTAAACTCAAATTAACTCTTTTTATTATAATTTGTTTTCACTTTTATTTTTGTAATTATTTATAATTATTTTTCATTTTTCCTGATGAATGTGCAATAAAGGCTATTATTATTATTATTATTACTAATATAAACCGAAAGGGGCAATCATCATAATCATTCATGATGATAGCCGATTTGTAAATATCATCATGAATGATCATGAACAGGAATTTGATGATATGCTAGTATTAGATCAAGCTTTGAAAAAATCCATTCAAGTAGAGATGTAAATCTTGAATATGAGGTAAAGGATATCGGTCAGGGACCATAACTAAATTCAACTGGCGATAATCACTGCAAGGTCACCAACCGTTAGAATTCTATTTAGGATTCCATATGCCGAGATGAAACCGTTGAAGACGAGGAAGGTCTGCATATATATCACGTAAAACCGTTAATTCGAATTCTTTTTTGGCAGTAGCATGTTTTACAGAATCTAAACGTCGTGGTCGACAAAATAGAAATTAGTTCTGATATGATGTTTAACATTATGTAAAACTGGTGTTGAGAAGTTTGGAGAAGAGGTTAGATTTGGAAAAGATCTCAGACGTTTTGTGAATGGAGTTTTAATAGAAAAGAGCTTCGGAGAAGGTATGTTAGCTACAAGTCTAAACAAGCATCATTAATGACGAAAACCCACTGAAATTCTGACTTTGAACAAGATTACATTGCGGTTATCATCATACCATGAAATTAAATCCAATCGAATTGATATGGACTTAATTAAAACTTGAGGTGGGTTCTAAAAGTACTGCATTTAAATTAGTAGATATTATTGGAAACAATTCAAACTGCCTCCAATAAAATTTTGTTGTTCAAATCTAACAATTCTATGCACTCAGATTGATGTGACAAAAAGTTTGGATTTATGGAACATCCATAAATCCATCGTAATGGTTGAATCAGAAAAAATAATTAAAATTCTCATAGTTTGCAGTCAGTTACTAACACAGCATTTAGCAGACCTATTTATCAGGCATTTATTAGAAACCGATTTTTATTTATAATGAGACATATTTGGTTCGACGATATCAGGCTTATCAGAAAGAAAGATAAGTGATAAATTAAGTCAGACTAGTGAGATGTCTGATAATTTTGCTCAGAATTGAAGAGTTTGTTACTGTCCATCAACTTGGAGGACCATAGATGAATCTAGCAAACCTGGCATACAACATACAAGACTTTAGCATCGGAATAGAAGTGAGCGTAATTTTACATTTGACAACTTGTTTATAAATATTTTTTTGCAAAAAATTGCACAAAAAAATCACTGTGGTTGGTACTATGAGAAACACTCGTATAGATATCCCAACGCAATTACATGACGTGAAAAAAATAGCGTCTCTTCCGGTTTTTGTTTACTAAAGAAATAACTTAGTCTATTTGAAAATCTGTCCTCTCATCCTTACAACATCAACATAAAATATCAACTGAAGAAAATAATTTGAAGTCCAAACGTTTAAGATAAATTACTTAGGTCATTACGATTGTTTGATAATTTTATTGACATTACTTTGCTATAAAAGTTTGGTGATTTGGCTTTTGAAAAATCTTGAGTTAATTTCGAAGACAATTTCTTGGAAGAGAGCTTGAATTGTGGTTTAGCAACGCCTATATCTCTAAAAAGTGTGATGAACACCGATTTCTAAATGCACTGTGCTCGGCCATGACAGCTTCTGGAGTATCAATAGCACGAAAATCCTGTAATCGGTTCCAAACATGGTATATGTCGTTGCGTTATGTTATTCCTGTTGTGAGAACGACAATAAACTTCACACCAACAAGTGTAAAGTTGGTAAATGATTTGTGTGCCGCAAACATAGTAAAACAATACATACTGTCAAAATCATAAACCGCGACAAATGAAATCCCGATGAAGATGAAGCTGAAAAACCACAACATTATACGTTTCAACGAAGTCAAGATGAATATAATTGAATTTACTAAAAATTGTAGGTAACATTAAGTAAATCACCGTTGACTCAGTTTTGGGATTTTCTGGAAGTTTGTTATTTTGGGGATGATTTAGAGATTCAACAAATTCTAAATGATACTGGTCAATTTGTTTACCAAACTCTCTAGAAAAATTAATTTGTAACATATTACAAGAGCATAAAGTTACTCCCAAACCAGTTTGCATATCGATTTAGTTCTTTTTGGAAGTTATCAAATGACGCATTGCCTTATAGTGTCAAATTCGTGTGCAAACGATATTAAATGAAAACTTATTGGTTGAATGCATTATGTTATCAATTATAATAAACGTATGTTGACGAAGCGAACAATCGGAACAAATATGGATCTGGTATGCGATAATTTTGTATGAACGCGACCCCGTTTATTAGCGTTGTGTAACACATGTTATTGTATAAGACAGCGAGTCGGATTTCGTCAATCTGTATCCATTAGTACGAAGAAAGGAAGGAGCTTATGTGTATGGATTCTGTGAAATTGAATCATAACACATTAAAAGATT